TCACTTTCAATTTCATTGAAGAGTTGGAGGAGTATTGTTGTGAGTTCTGCTTTGAACGCCTGATAGAATTCAACTGTAAATCTATCCAGTCATAGAATATTTGTGAGTGAGAAGTCTCTTATTGCTATTTCTATTTCAGTGCTAGATATGGGTCTGTTAAGTTGGTTTACATTATCTATGATTAGTTTGGGCTTGTCGATATTTACTAGAAATTTGTCCATTTCTTCCAGATTCTCAAACTTATTAGCATAAAAGTTTAAGAAGTATTCCCTTATGATGTTCTGAATCATGGTTGTTTCTGAGGTGATGTTTCCATTCTCATCCCTGAGTCTATTTATTTGAGTGCATTCTCTTCTTTTTCTGAAAAGATTTAGTAAGGGTCTGTCAATGTTGTTAATTTTTTCAAAGTGCCAACTCTGTTTTGTGGACTCGTGGTTTTTTGGACTCTAATTCATTTAATTCTGATTTAATTTTAATTATTTGTTTCTGTCTATGGATTGGGGTTTAGGTAACTTCAGGTAATTTCAGGTGCCTTGTTAAATTGTTGGTTTCAGATCTCTCCAATTTGTTGATGTTAGAACTCAGGTATGTAAACTTGCCTCTGAATACTGCCTTTGCTGTATCACAGGAGCTCGTAGTTTGTGTGTTCATTTTTGTTAAATATCATGAACATTTGAATTTCCTTTCTAATCTCTTCCATGACCCACTGGTGGTTCAACAGTATGTTGTTCAGCCTCCATGTGTTACAGGATTTTCTTTGGTGGCTTTTGGTGTTGAGTTCTAAATTAATTCCCTTGTGGTCTGAGAGAATGCAGGACATAATTTCAAGGTTTCTGAATTTGGACAAATTTTCTTTGTGACCTAAAATGTGGTCTATTTTGGAGAATGTTCAATGTGCTGCTGAGAAGAATGTGTATTGTGTTGCTGCTGTGTGCACTATTCAGTAGATATCTGTTAAGTCTAGTTGATCTTTGCAGTTGTTTAGATCCGAGGTATCTCTGTTGAGTTTTTGCCAGGTTGATCGATCCAGTGGGAATAGTGGTGTGTTAAAGTTCCCTACAAATAATGTCTTTAGATCTATGTGAGATTTTAGGGAAAGTAGTGTTTCTTGGATAAATGTTTGTGCTCTCTTGTTTGGTGAATAAATATTTAGAATTGTAATATCTTCCTGAAGGAGTGATCCCTTAATTAGTATGTAGTGACCTTCTTTATCTCTTCTTGCTAATTTTAATTTGAAGTCTATTTTATCTGATATTAGGATTGCAACTCCTGCCTACTTATGGGGTACATTTGCTTGGTAGATTTTATTCTAGTCTTTCACTTTCAGAATATGTTTGTTTTTATGGGCATTGTGTGTCTCTTGAAGACAGCAGATAGAGGCATCTTGCTTTTTGAACCAACTAGACAGTCTGTAGCTTAATTGGAGAGTTAAGTCTATTAATGTTGAGAGTTAAGACTGAGGGGTGTTTGGTAGTTCCTGCCATGTTATCCACCTTCTTGGGGGCTGTGCCAACTGGGTTCTTCCTATGATTGTTGGATTCTCTGTTTGGGGACTGTTTCTTGGCCTTTATTGTACTCTTGTTGGTTTTCTTTTTTTTTTATTGTGAACATACTGTACAGAGGGGTTACAATTACATGGGCAAGATAATGAGTACATTTCTTATCAAGCATTGCAGCCTCCTCCTTTGTTTACCCTTCACATCCCTTCCCAGCCTCCCCCCATCCCCCCACCCAATCCTCCCCCCCACCAAAGTTGTAAAGTTCGCTTTCGACATGACAACTTGTACTTCTCATTGTTACAACGGGTCCACCTGTATCCTTAAACGACTTGTTTTTCCCCTTCTCCTCCACAAATTATACTAACACTCTTGTTGGTTTTCTATGTGAGGATATCTTTAAGTATCTTTTGTAGGGCTGATTTGGTGGAGATATAGAGTTTCAACTTTTCCTTGCTGTGAAAGGTTTTTATTTGACCTTCTGTTATGAAGGAGAGTTTAGCTGGGTACAGTATTCTTGATTGATAGTTGTTTGTCATTAGGGCATGGCATATATCATTCCAGGCTCTTCTTGCTTTTATTGTCTCTGCTGAGAAATCTGAAGTTATTCTGAATGGTTTCCCTTTATAGGAGATTGATCTTTTCTCCTTGACAAATTTAAAGATACTTTCCTTGGTCTCAATTGATCCTGTGCAGATTGCAATGTGATGGTAGGATGTCTTGTTCTGGTCTCCTATTTGAGGTTCTAAAGGATTCTTGTATCTGAATGTGCCTTTTTGCATTTTGGGGAAGTTCTCTGCTAACATCCTGTGAAATAAATTTCCTAGACCTTTTACTTCTGTCTCTAGAACCTCCTTTACACCCATTAGCCTTTAATTAGGCCTTTTGATGGTGTCTTCTAAATGTTGAATGGATCTATCATATTTCTTGGATTTGTCTTGAATATTTGTTCTTTCTCCATAATATCTAGGCTGTCTTCAATACTAGAGATTTGATCTTCTGCATGGTCTAACCTACTGTCAAGACTTTCTACTTTTTTTTAATTTCCTTTCCTTTTAATTGGTTAGATTTGATGGCTTCAAATTCTTTTTGAACTTTGTTTTAGATCTTGTATGGACTTCTTTACCTCCCTACTTTGGTTTTCAGTGATAATTCTCAGAACCTTTAGTTGAATGGTTATAGTTTCATTGGATCCATTTCCTTCTGTTGGGCTTCATTCAGCACTCCCTTTTTGGCCTCCATGAATTCCTTCAGCTTTCTGTTTGTGGATTCCAGGAGTGTCTCTTTTAATCTCTGTTTATTCTCATCCCACTCACACAATTCCTCTATTAATCTTTGATTAGCCTCTTCACGCTTACGAAATTCTTGTATTAATCTTTGGTTGGCCTCATCACGCTCATTCATTTCTCTATTACATTCACACAAAGTCCTTTGTAGGCTTTCAATCTTTTTATTCAGCATGTTTACCAGTAAGTAGTGTTTGTAGAGCATTTTGGGAACTCTGTTCTGGATTATTTACTAACTACTCTGTTGCCTGATTATCATTAGCAGGAGTTGATGTACCTGGACTTCCCATTTTTCTTGTATTTCTCCAGCTTCTTGTGCCTATTTGGGTATGAAAGCAAAACCAATTCTGTGGTAGAACACTACATTTTGTGGCAAATATCAACCAAATCCCTGTTGTTGCACAGATTATTTGACACACTCAAACTGAGTACAGATACAATCTAGTTCAACAGATACAACCCAGTTCAACAAAGAACAAGTAGGGATCAATGGACTAAGAAAATCAAAAGAGTTAGCAGACCATTAATTAATAGGTTTAAGGAGAATTGTGAGGAGAAAATAAGATTAGAGCAATGTAAGAAGGAAAAGAGAGAGAGGGAAGACCTAAATTGAGATAGTAAAAAAGGATAAAAGCAAAAAGAAAAATAAAGAATTTAAAAATGAAACACTTAAAAAACTATATAAATACAAAGAAATAATACTACAATTAAAGGAATTAAGGCTGAGAGTTTGTGAATTGAGTAATTGATAGCTGAATCAAGTGTGCACACAATGAAAGATAAGGTCTAATACAGAATAGCAATTAATAAAGCAAAAAAACCAAAAGGACCAAAAGGGAAAAGAATAAAAAAAGAATTAAAAAAAACTAAACTAAAATGATGAAAAAATAGAAAACAATTTTTAAAAATTTTTACTTATTTAGAACAAAGAGTTCTTTGATTTTTTTTTTGGTTGGGGGGGGAGGGAATCTTATGTCTCTCCTGTGTCCATAACCAGTTTCTTGGTGGAGTCTCTGGTTTGCTTCTGGTGTTTGGTTTCCCTGTTAATTGATTGGCTTCTTAAATCACTTTGTTTAAGCAGGCAGAATGAAGCTCTGCCATACCAGGGACTTTATGACCGTCCTCCAAGGCTAGTTCAGTGGGAGGGTAATCTGCTTTGAGTATCACAAAAGAGAGAGATGGCTGTTTCCTCTAGCATGGAATTGCTGAGAGGGGGCATAGGTTGTTAGTAGGGTTGAGGCCTGTCAGCAATCAGTAGGTTTTCCCTGAGGGGGTAGCTCCTGAGACACACAGCCCAGCCTGGAGCCATTCTCAGGATTTATGTGTGCTGATTTTCCAATAATTTTCCTTTTACCCTCTTGCAGCTGGAGTTTCTGCCTGTGCTACAGAGGGGTGGAGCAACCTCTTTCTCCGTTTATTCAGTGAAAAAGTCACCTCCCTGGGCGGAGTTACTCTACCTGGGAATGGTAACTTTCCCCAGAGGTGGAGCTGTGCCCTGCAAGTCAGGTTCCTTTTACTTCATGAATGGCTCCTATTGTCTTCTTCCAAGTCCTAAATTATGTTCTAGCTGCTCTGGTCAGGTGTTTGTCAGTATTAAAGGTGGAGTTCTTCTCAGGGGTAGGGAGGGGCTACCTTCCAGCCACTGCTCTGTGAGAAGAAGTAAGGATGTCTTGTGGGGTACTCATGCCTTTCCCTTATTTTCCAGGCTGTCTATGGTCTGCAACTGTCTGTGGTGAGCAGGATGCAGATTCTGCTCCTTTTCAGTTCTTGCTGGAAGTGAGTAGAATCCACTCACACACCACCTCTGGCACATTTGTCCTGGGCTCTCTCTTTTGACATGGTGGCTACCGCAGCAGCCACCACCACTGCTATAGCCATCGGCAAGTGCCCAAATCTATCTCCTTAACCAAGCTGCCTGAATTTTTCCTCTCTGACCAAATTCTCTGTACTATGAAGGCACACTTGGTGTGACTCTCTAGCCTTGGACTTTGCACTAGAACAGTAAAACTGGTTTCTACCTGAGAGCTTGTTTAGCCCCCAGCTTCTCCTCTGCCATCTTCCTCTGGACTCTGATATAGTTGTTCTTGACAGTGATTTTTTTTTCATTATAAGCTTCCTGATATTAAGAAGAAGAAAAAGATCTAAAATTAATGGGTTAGATTTTCTTTCTTGAAGATAAAGACTAAAATGCACTAGGACTTTCGATTTAAATCAGAATTCCTGTGACTAAGTCCCAAGCATGTTTATTTTCTTGTTAGCCTTCCAGGTGTGTGGTCTAGTAGATGGTTCAGTTGGGGTGTCAGTACAAAATCCAGAAACAGAAAGTGCATATTTTATGTTCCATTGCAATCCAGAGTGAAATCCAACTAAAAGGCAGCATTTAATTTTTATTTAGAAAACAATAATAACTAATATTCAATTGGCAGTTATTAGCAACTTGGTTGTTTTAGTGTATTTCAAGTGTGAACACAATTAATGTTAGAAAACATTCTATGTAGTCTTCACTGTTATCTCCATCACTCTCTTTTTTTTATTGTGAAAATACTGTACAGAGGGTTTACAATTACATGGGCAAGATAATGAGTACATTTCTTATCAAGCATTGTAGCCTCCTCCTTTGTTTCCTATTCCCATCCCTTCCCAGCCTTCCCTCGCCCCCCCACCCAATCCCCCCCACACCAAAGTTGTAAAGTTCGTTTTTGACATGACAACTTGTACTTCTCATTGTTGCAATAAGCACCACTCTCTTTTTACAGATCAAAAAATTGAGAAGCAAGAAAATATCAGGCGGTTGATAGCTCTTGCCTGTAATCCTAGCTACTCAGAAGACTGAGATCTAAGGATCGCAGTTCAAAGCCAGCACAGGCAGAAAAGTCTGTCAGCTTCTTATATCCAATGAACTATTAAAAAGCTGAAAATGGAGCTATGACTTAAGTGGTAGAATGCTAGCCTTGAGCACAAAAGCTCAACAACAATGCCCAGGCTCTTGGTTCATGCCTTGGGACACACACATACACATGCACAAACTCTATCATACAATGTTAAACTTGATAGTAATTATCATAAGGTACCTGGAAAGTTTAATATAAAATTTTCAGACAAGAAGAAATTTCTTCTGATGTAGCAGCAATTAAGAAAGAATTATGAGTTTTTTGATTCATTAAAATCACTTACATATATTGGAAAGTCATAATTATTGTGATCCTTCTTAAGCACAAGTCTATAGGACTCTATTTTAGCCTTGTATTCATATTTACTTTCCACTATTAATAACTTAAATAAGTTATTGGCAACCTTGCAGTTTCATCCAAAAGACATATATATATATATATATATATATATATATATATATATTCCTAACAGAGAACTATCAAAGCAAGAGCTATAAAGTTTATTTCTGTCCAACTCACATTTTAGTTGTCTAAGATACTAGTCTTTGAAAATTCCATTTCTACAATGAATTTTATGAAACTGTTTGTAATAATATATATTTTATTTCATATTGTCTATCATTGCTCTAGCTCTAAGACCTAAGGAACCTTGAAGAGAAATTTATTATGTCCTTTATTTTCAAATGAGCTAGTCTGGCCTTGTAAAATAACCCAGTAAATGCCATACATAATAAGATTAGTTTATCAGATTCCAGCTTCTCTCTAACTGTGCAATGTGAAGTTCACCCAATTACAGCTCTCTCCCCACCACTTTCCCCTACCCCAGCCCTCAGATATCACACACAGAGGCCACAGAAGTGCTCAAACTTCAATCCTTCATTACTTACTAACATTGAAGAGCAAAGTCATAGTTTTAAAAATGACAAAAGGGTGCAGGTGCTATTGACTCACATCTGTAATTGCACCTACTCAGGAGTCTTGAGAGCTGAGAATCAAAGTTTGAGTCAGCCTTGGCAGAAAAATCTTCAAGACTCATGTCCAATTAATCAGCAAAAGCCAGAACTAGAGGTACAGCTCAAGTGGTAGAACATTTGAAAAAGCCAAATGAAAGCACAGGTTCTGAAAAGTCCCAGGAACACCACACACAAAAAAAGTGATTATGGTCAGGTGCCAGTGGTTCATATTTGTTATCCTAGCTACGCAAGAGCCCGAGATCTGAGGATTGCCGTTCAAAGCCAGTTGTGTCACAAAGTCTGTGACTTTTCTCTCCAATTGACCCACAAAAAACTGAAAGTACAGCTGTGGTTCAAGTGTTAGAGCTTGAGGAAAAACAAAAAAACACCACATGGATAGTACTCAGGCCCTGAGTTCAAGTCCTAGGTCTGACACAAAAACATCTTTAATGTTCTAAAGTTTCCATTCAGTAACCCTCAGCATTTTCTTTGTTATTTTCTACCTTCATAATGTTTTACATTTTAAAAAGATCTATTTTGTTTAACATTTTGTAGAGGAATTATTTACATTCATTGCCTGGTGTGGTCTCAAAGGAAACAAACATTGGTCCCAGGTGATGGTAACATGCTCCAATGATGCCAGATTCTGATCATGATTCCTGCTACAACAATGATTTCTGGCAAAGACAAACAGCATTCTTACAGAATCTGACCTTGCCAGGCCTTAGATTTCATTAGCTGTCCTTGCATTTTACATGTGATAATTCAGACCTTGTGGTAACTAGCAGAGAATTTGTGTTTAACTACTTGTAAATGAGTATTTTATTGCACTCACTTAATAGCTTGGCCTTACTATACTGCAGGACAATGCTGTACATCTGATTTATGAATTTGTTCCTTAAACTTGGCATATATTTAACAAATGAGGAAATGGACGTAATAAAAGTCTTTGAGGGAAATGATCCTATTGATGCTATAAAGACAACACATGTAAAAAATGTATTGAGTCACGGATTCCAAAATCAATACCTGTCTGCTTCAGATCATATTAACACTCCATACCAACAGACCAGAATCCAATCTCCACAAATTAAGAAGAAAACTCCAGAACTTTACAAGATATAAGATGGGGTAACTTTGGTTAACTTCATAACATTATTTAAAAACTGAAATTATCCAGGCTTACAAAAAAATAAATAAAATGTAATATATCCTTTAATATAGAGAATGAACAGCAGAGTAATTGTACAGAGTTCCATGCTGGAGATAAAAGTTTTTAAAACATTAATATAGACTTCTCCTTCTGGCTAAAATAGGATGAGGTTTGCATTCCAATTTAAAGTATTTTTTTGCTTTTATTTTTAAACAGGAAAATAGCTGTGAAAACATTTTCAGAAACATGGCCACCAGGAAGATATGGAGATAGGGTCCCCAAGAGAAGAGATACAAAAAAAATAAACCCTTAAATTGTCTGCATTGACTGTCATCAGGGTTTCCAGTCTAGCGATGGAATCCATAAGTTTGGGGTTCACTGGTAGATCAGAAAAGAGAGCAGAGTCAGGGTACTCTCGAGGTCAGCAAAGAGCTACCCCAGGCTCTTAAAGGAACACTTCTAAGGCTGGGGAAGAAAATTGGTGGAGAGGACATCAAGTAGCAAAAACATCACTAAAAGCTAGCAATGATCCCTGTTGTTGACATGCAGAGAAGAAATGTTCACTGATGGTGATGGTCAAGTGTGTAGAAGGTTTTTGTCCCTGTTGTATGCAAGTTATAAATGTTGTTCTGGTCCTGCATTACATTACTTAAAGCTTTAAGTCCACAAATACAAGCTTGCTTTCCCAGTGTAAAACCATCAATATAATATACCACATCAGCAGACTAAAGATGAAAAACATATGATATGCTTAATAAATGCAGAAAAAAGCATTTGACCAAATCCAGCAACCATTTCTTACAAAAATGTCTATCAACAAGCTAAAAATAGGAGACTTGCTCAATTTGATAAAGGGTACTTACAAAAAAAAATCTTATACCTGGCAACCTACTTGATGAGAAATTACTAACTTTTCCTTCTATGATCTGGAAGGAAGAAAAAACGTCTACTCCATCACTTCTTCTCAGCTCTGTAGTAACACCCTAAGCAGTGTGGCAAGGAAAAATAGAATGCAGAGTAAAAAAGAGATGGAGGAAGAGGGAGAGGGAGGGAGTGAGGGAGGAAAGGAGGAAGGAAGAGGATAAGGAGGGAAAGGGGAAGGAAGGAAGGAAGGAAGGAAGGAAGGAAGGAAGGAAGGAAGGAGGCAGGCAGGGAGGAATTTTGTCAAAGTTGTAAAATAAAAACAATTTAAAACTATTGTATTCTATATATTAACAAATAATTGGAAATTTGAATTCAAATCATAATTCAATAATTATAAGTTATGTATAACTAATAAAGTATCGAAACTATAGAAGAAGATGGTGCTGTTAGCTCAGGCCTATAATCCTAACTATTCAGGAAGCTGAAGTATGAGGCTCATAGTTTCAAGCCAGCCCAGGCAAGAAAAATCTGTGAGACTCTTATCTACAATTAACCATCAAAAAAGCAGGAAGTGGAGTTGTGGTTCAAGTGGTACAGCACTAGCCTTGAACACAGAGGTTCAGGAACAGCATCCAGATCCTGAGTGCAAGACTCAGAACTAGCACAAAATAAAAAGACAGACAATTCTATGCCAGACCTGTGCACTGAAAATCACAAAACTTAGTTGAGAAAAATTAAATAATAATTTTGAGGAAAAGTTTAATGGTTCATAAGTACAGAATTATCTTATGATCTAACCATTTCTCTACTAGAAATTTCCTCCAGGAAAATAAAGCTGTATGTCAAACTTTACGTATCCTTGTATTTATGATATGTCCTTTGTAAGTAGCTCATAACTACTTATTAGTAGCTGATCATTTTGGTTGTAATATTTATTATCTCTTTTTAATATGTGTCTATAATATCAATATTTATAGAAGCTTTCCAGATAAGAGAAAGACTAGAAACAAATGTTCATGAATGGGATATGAACAGGGTAAATGGGGAAAAATATGTTGTATGTTATATGAGAGTATTACTCAGCAATGAAAAGGCATATTTCCAAGAGCATTGAAGATTTCTAAAGTAAATATGCTGAATGAAGCAGCTAGACCAAGCACAGCACATACTGTATAATTATAGTTATGTAGATTGGTAGACAACACTAATTAAATCTATATGACAGAAAGCAGACTAATGGATGCCGGGAAAGGGCTGGGTAGGAAGGGATTATGTAATGTTAAAAGGAACTTTTGAGGTGAGGGTATGTTCATTTTGCATACACAATTATGTATACATTTCAAAATATTTATAATTGTACATTTTATATGCCACTTATTTCATGGAATTTGTAACCTAAGCTGTTAAAAATTCTAAATGCTGAATTTCAAATGCTAAATGTTACTGTTTTATATTTATATACATATATTCTAGATTTAAATATTATAAAATATTTTAGGCAGCATAATAGTTCTATGTGTTTGAAATGAAAAATGGATTCCATATTTTTATTTGAAACATAGCATCTATACTTTTACAAATGGGAAAGATTTTTATGCAAAGAATGAATAATAAAGTTACTAAATAAAACTAAATTCACGATGCCATCTAAAGCAAAGTCTTATGAGGAAAATAGTATATATATATATATATATATATATATATATATATATATATTTAAATTGCTTCTGACATTGCAAAATTTTAGCCAAAACTTTAACAAAATGTGTCAACTTGAAGATGATGGTAATGATAATCATTGTTTAAGAGCCTTTTCATCTCAAACTCACACAGATCATTGACAAAGCTGTCCATCCTTACCTTTTCTTCTGTACTCAGAACTGTCTGGCCAGGAAATGAGGAAAAGTAGCTTACTGGCCACCTCACAGATACACAAAGCCACATGTTGGATTTGACCATTGTTTGATGACATTTGTTCTGTCTTCTCATGCTTACAGTAGTTCTGAGTGAGCTAGGCATTGTGGTGAGCACCTGTTGTCCGAGCTACAACATATAACAAGGTAGGAGAATTACTTTATCACAAGAGGTTTAGATCAATCTGACAAAGATAGTGAGATCTTTAATAATAATAATTTTTAAAAACCATAGGGTGCTGATGACTCATGCCTGTAACCCTAGATATTCAGATGGCTCAGATCTGAGAATTGCAGTTTGAAACCAGCCTGGGAAGAAAAGTCTATGAGACACTTATCTTTAATAAGCCAGCAGAAGACCAGGCTGGGAGTGTGGATCAAGTAGTAAAGCATCACTCATAAGTAAACAACCTGAGTGAGCGGCAGGTCCTGAGTTCAACCATGGGATTAGAAAAAAAGGAAAAAAAAGTTTTTAAAATGCCAATACTCAGTCAGTCAACATCAATAACTGTACACTGACAATTGTTATTTAAAGACAAATACTGAAACAGGAGAGCAGCCCCCTAGTCTTTGCAAATGTGAATTTATGTTTCACGTTTACTCTTCCAAATGGTTGTTCCCATTCTCAAACCATCTTCTAGAATGTAAGGAAGGGCCCAAGAAACTGAATAACCAATGCAAATGCCCTCATAATTTTTAAGATCCCTGAGGCAGCCTATTTGCTATGCAGTAATCATTTTTCTATATATGGTTCTATAAAGATATATTTCTATAGAGTAACTCCTATGTGAGTCTTTTTTTACCATTTATTAATATTTTAAGCATTTTGATTTTATTGGGTAGATGTTTTCTATTATCTTTAAGTAGTTTTACAACGGAGTTGCCATTCAACACAGTGGTTTATAAATACAATCAATGTTGGCCCTTCCAACATTCTCACTCACCCCACCCAACCCACCCTTCCCCCATGTTTCTTAATTTTCTTAAGGTTAATGAATTGGATTTTTTAGTCATTCAATAGAGCAGCTTATGTATACGATGCATCTTGATCTATGTCACCCCTTCAACATGTTTTCCCTCCCCCTTCCACTCATCCCTTCCTTATTTTTTCTCAATTCTGTGGTATATAGAAGGATAGTGTACCATTCAAAAGGAAATGGAAAGACTTGGGGGGGAGGGGCACTGTACTTAGTGAAGTAAGCCAGGCCCAGGGTAGGTTGCATGGATTCTTTCCCTCATTTGTGGCAACTAGAATGTGACTGTATATCTACAAATAAACACACTGGATGGTATACACATGGCTACAAGTGAGTTAACTGAAGGATAAGAGACTTTATGGAGAGCTCAAATAGTATCCTTCTTTAGAAAGATTAAGCCAAAGCACAACAAAATAAGTATCAGGAAATGGGTAGTTACAAGAGGAGAGGGTGGAGAAAGGTAGAAGAGTGAAGGGAAAATGGGAGAGAATGCAGGCAAGAATCCATTGTATATACACCACAGAAATAGTTGCCGATTTTTAAGACCATCATTGTTCCAAAAAAATCAAGTGACTGCCGGGCACCACTGGCTCACACCTGTAATCGTAGCTACTCAGGAGGCTGAGATCTGTGGATCGCGGTTCAAAGCCAGCCCAGGCAGGAAAGTCTGTGAAACTCTTATCTCCAATAAACCACCAGAAAACTGGAAGTGGCGCTGTAAGCTCAAATGGTAGACTCAAGCTGAAGAGCTTAGGGACAGTGCTCAGACCCAGAGTTCAAGCCCCATGACCAATAAAAAAAAAAAAATCAAGTGATTGTTTTAATCATTTCTAGTTTAGAGCACTGGCAACATGGATACTTTCTCTTAATCTTGGATGGCAAACACTTTCATCTGCTGAAATATATATCAGCAGGTAGTTGAAGGAAAGCGTAAAGATCCTGTATTTTTGGCAGGTTTCATCCAAGATTATTCTCAGAGTGCCTGGTCTCAGTTTTTAGAAACCATCTTGTCAGCATGTCCTGTACAGAGCAAATGACAAGCTTACTGGTCCCCAGGGAAAGAAACCATGTGGCATCTCTCAACACACATCAATCTATGGAAACCCAGCTTTCTCCTGTCAGCGGGTTCAACACCGATCCTCTCTCCCTCCTGTGCATAATCAGGCATGAGATGCACATTTACAGAGGCAGAAGAAAGACAGGTCGAAATTTAGGAAGGGAATGAAGAGGAAATTCAAACTATACATTATTTTAGGATCATTATGGTTAATACTTTCAACCTACTAGGATTAAAATTAGTAAGGTCACATTCAGGCATAGCATGCCACAAAAATACATGCTCTAGAAGATCAAGGGCTTCTCTGTTTGGCTTAGCCTAAGATGCAGCCATACAGAACTTTGCTTAGACTTTCAGGAATATTTGCATATTACCATCAATGATATTCTGAGTACATCTGCCTGCAAATTTCAAGAGTATTTTGAAACAATTCATATACCTATATCTTTTCATCATTGTTTGTAGATTGTACAGTACCAAATTTTCTGCTCATTAAAATGCATCTGTAAGTCTGACACCAAATCTCCTGGCACATTAAAAAAAAACTCTTGCAGAGCGAAAAAGAAGAGTTGAGTCACCCAACATCACGTTCAAACAAGAATAGCCCAAATAAGGTGACATCCTTCCATCTTGCTTCATGTGTCATATGGGGAACAAGTGTTTTCTTGTATTTAGTAGCACACACTTACCCTTTTGGTACTTTCTGTTGGTGATGTTGCTGCTCACAATGGCTCCAGTCTAGCCTGGTGCTGGTGGCTCACGCCTGTAATCCTAACTAGGTAGGATGCTAAGATTTGAGGATCATGGAAAGTTTATGGGATTCATATCTCAAATTAAGCACCAAAAGAGCAGAAAGTGGAGCTAGGGCTTAAGGGGTAGAACACTAGCCTTATGCACAAAAGTTCAGGGACACGCAACTGGGCCCTGAGTTTAAGCCCGGGGACATTTTCTCTCTCTCTCTCTCTCTCTCTCTCTCTCTCTCTCTCTCTCTCTCTCTCTCTCTCTCTCTCTCTTTCTCTCTCTCTCTCTCTCTCTCTCTCTCTCACACACACACACACACACACAAAACCACACATCCTAGTACTGAAATGTCTAACACAAGAGTGGAATGTGCCTGACAGAGAAAAGTTGTTAAGCCATCCTCATTCTAGGGATGATGTGTTTAATTGCATTCAGTCAATAAAGCAGGATAAGGAAGAAGAAATGTGTCAATCAGTACAGAAAATGCTGAAGACACATTCCACCATGTATCGAAGCTATGGGAAAGATGGGAAAATGGCTACACTCTGGTTCCATGAGACAATGATTGAACAGAGCAACAGCGGTATGGAGAGACACTCTCATGGTTGAGAATTGCAGCAATCTCACCCAGTGTCCAGGAAATACCAAATACCACTCAGCTGCTGCTGCCTGTGTCACATCCTTTCTCAGGTGTCGTGGTGGAGAAAACACTGAACTTGCAGACCAGGCAAGCAATGCTGAACAGGAAAGGGCAGGGCAATGCTTAAAATATCTGCTAAAGGTTGCTGGGCAAAAGGATTATGCGGAAAAGCAGAGTCTTCATTCTAGGAACACTGATGTATTTTTGTATAGACTTTGGAAAGCAAATCTTCTTAACACAACTGGCATCCTGAAAGCCTGATTTTAAATCATTCAAAGACTATGTGATTGTTCCTAATTCATGGCATAAAATAAGGAGTGTTGGCCACATTGATTCACACCTCTAATCCTAGCTGCTCAGGTGGCTGAGATCTGAGGATCAAGGCTCAAAGCCAGCCCAGGCAGGGAAGTCTATGTCATTCTTATCTCCCAATAACTATCAAAAAAAGCAAGCTGTGGCTCAAGTGATAGAGCACCGGTCTTGAATATAAAAGCTCAGAGACAGACAGTGCCCAGACCCTAAGTTCAAGCCTCAGGACTGGCATAAAATCAAAACAAAACAACAAAAAAAGACCCACAAGGTGTCTGTAAGCAGAAGCACATATGAAACAAGATTATGTGTTGAACAGTTGTAAAAAATGTGACCAGAGGCTTATAAGAACCAAATCCTACAAGTCATTATGTCGAAAACAAACTTTACAACTTGGCGGGGGGGGGGGGGGGGGGGGGGGGGGGGGGGCAGGGAGGAATGGGGGGGGGGGCGGGGGGAGGATGGGAAGGGATGGGAAGGGGAAACAAAGGAGGAGGCTACAAAGCTTGATAAGAAATGTACTCATTATCTTGCCCATGTAATTGTAACCCCTCTGTACAGTATTTTCACAATTAAAAAGAAAAAATGAAAAAAAAAAAAAGAACCAAATCCTGGGGCTGGGAAGGTGGCTCAGTGGTAGAGTACTCACCTTGCATGCATGAGGCCCTGGGTCTGATTCCTCAGCACCTCATAAGCAGAAAAAGCTGGAAGTGGCACTGTGGCTCAAGTGGTAGAGTGCTAGCCTTGAGCTGAAGAACTGAGGGACAGCCCCCAGGTCCAGAGTTCAGGCTCACAACCAACAACAACAACAACAACAAAAATCCTTTCTTTGTTTCCCTGTTTCATATTTGCTAATTCTGTATTTGTGACAATATTGAATGTGCAACTCTTAGGAACCACATAAAAATTGACTTTGTGTGTATGTGTGTGTGTGAAACATTAGAACTTGTCCATCAAATTAAATATTTAAAACATATAAAAGTTGCATGCCCATTTAAAATTTCAAAGGAAATAAGCGTGGCTGATCTTCTGGCCTCCTTCTCATTTTGATGAGCAATTTTGCGAAGTTTTCCTCATTGCGGATTTGGGTCAGCTCCCCTTTTATATGCTGCTTAACTCATCTGGTGAAGATGCAGGGTGAAGAGGACAGTTCTGCCCCGAGGTAGTGTGGGAGTATAGCTATGACAGAGTTGACTGAGGATAGCATCCAGATGTTTTGCTTTAATCCGTACAGAAGCAATAACTTTGCTGTCGCTGTAGTTCTTTTAACACCATTGAACCAGACAGCAGGCATAATGCAGATACCATGTTCATTGCAACATGTTTCCCATAGCCAAGACATGGAATCAGCCCAGATGCCCCTCAATGGATGAATGAACCAAGAAAATGTAGTATATATACAGCAATAGAATTCTACACATCCATCAGAAGGAGTGATATTGTACTATTCATAAAGAAATGGAGAGACTTTCCCTCATTTGTGGGAACTAGAGCATGCCTATAAATCTAGAAGTAAATATACTGGGTGGTCTGTGAGGGGTTACAAATGAATAAACTGAAATGCAATGGGCTCTAAAGGGAGTGCAAATAGTGTAATTCTTTGGAAAGAGTAAGTCAAAGCCCAGCAAAATAAGTACTAGGAAATGGATATTTGTGGTTGGCAAAAGGAGATGTGAAGAAGAAGGAATGAAGTGGGAAAGTAGAAGACAGGCAAGAATGAATCATATGTACCATACCACAAAATTGGGTATGTCAAAGGGAAGTGAAAATGTGCAAAGATCAAGATGTATTGTACACATAAACTGTTTGGTTAAATTGCAAAAAAATATTAAATATATAGCATAAAAAAATAAGAAAAGTGAGGAAAGGGGTGGGTTGGAAGGGATGGGTGGGAATGTTGAAAGGGGCAACATTTGTCAAAAGGTATTATATTCATAAACTGCTTTGTTGAATGGTACTAAAGATCATAAAATATTCAAAGTTTAAAACTTTTCAAAAAAGAAAACTCTCACTTACTTCTCATCTGAAACACCGGAGTCACGTCATGAAATGAATACACAATGGGACGTAAGCAGACTGCCAATGAGAACAAATAGAAGTTGTATTTAGAATTTACTACAGCAAGAGGATCAACTGTAACTAGTTTTGGAGTAAACCAAGTAATTCTCCACACAACGATATCCATGAGCTATGTGTCCAATCATACATGAAAAAGATGTGATTAGTTTTGCCACAGGGTCTCTAGGGATGAGGGAGGAAAAGGTAGGAGGAAGTGAAAAAATTACAGAAGCAGAGGTCAAAGTCATGCAACTCATTATCTCAGTGTGCCAAAGGCATCAGGTTATATCTGCAACCTGGCTTCCATCATGTCTGAGTGCAAATAGTAACTCAGATGGCCTCCATATTCCTTAAAAGTCTAGTTGTTGTGGTGGTAAAGGGAGATGTGAAGAAGAAGGATTCTAATTTTGCCCAAGAAGGAACACAAATGGATCACTCATTTTCTTCCTTTCTTTTTTCTTTCTTTTCTTTTTGTAGGTCATGGGGCTTGAACGCAGGGCCTGGGCACTGTCCCTGAGCATTTTGCTCAAGGCAAGTACTCTGCCACCTTGAGTCACATACCCACTTCTGGTTTTCTGGTGGTTAATTGCAGATAAGAGTCTCAAGGACTGTCTTGCCCTGGGTGACTGTTGAACCACGATCCTCAGCCCTCAGCTTCCTAAGTAGCTAGGATTATAGGCGTGAGCCACGAGTGCCCAGCTGGGTCTCTCTTTTTCTCTTCACTGGATCACATTCTTCACCTTTTTTTTTTTTCAGAGAAGAGCTGAAGTTTTCATAGACATTCCTTTGATGAACAACCTCATGCTAGCATTTGTCTTACTTTAAATTCTCTACATTATCTGAAAATAACACTCTTGATTTATTGAGCAGAGTGTTTAAATAGTTTTCATTACATTACTTTCACACTTCATCATCTTACATATATATATCTGAGGATGGAATGTTATACTCTTCCGCTTGCCCACTTATTTTCAAACATATTTCTGATCCAAAGGGCTTAAAATCAATTAAACTAAAAGATACAGTCAGAAGCACTAGCTCATGTCTGTATTCTAGCTGCCTGAGAAGTAAAAAATAAATCTCAGTTCAAGGCCAGCCCAGGAAAAAGTTTCAACCAAGACCTGGAAATGGTGGAGCAGCCCTATCATCCCGGCTATACAAATCAAGTTGCAAATAACTGTGTTAGGAAATTATCCAAGTATTTTCCATATTTTTATGAGTTCACTTCTGTATCTGTGACCTATGACTACAGGGATTCCAAACAACACAAATTTATGACTGTGTTTTTCTGTCAATCAGAAACTGGGGCTTGGAATTTTCTAACCCATTACCATTTATCCAAAGTCATGACACTTTTGGAGACACTGGGGGGGGGGGGGGGAAGGGGGGAAGGCAGCGGGGGAGGGGAGAGAGGGAGGGGGCAGGGTGTTCTGAATCTGGGTCAGTGCTTCTGTGTTGTACGGGCCACCTTCTTTCCTTGGCTCATGGCCCCTTCCTTTGTCCTCAAGCACCAAGGTCAGGCCTTGTCCTTCTGGTACACTTTCTGGGGATCTCTTCCTATGCCCTCTCCTTTGTGATTACATGTACCCTATCTGGATTGTCCAGCACAATCTTGCTCATTTAAAGTTCCATGATGACACCCTGATTTCTCTCTTTAGGAATAATGTCTCTTATCCATCACTTATTATATTGACAAGTTTTAGGAATTAGGACATAGATTTCCATAAGGACCCACTGTTCTTATTAAATAAGCTCTTGGTCTTCAAATTTCATCTTCTTAAAAGCAAAAGGGAAAAATGTCTTGAACAAGCAGCATTGTATAATTTAGCATACCAGATTTTCCTGCCAACATTCACTGAAAAGAATTTTATCAGCAATTTAAACAAATTTCATAATTTCATGACACAGAGGTGAAAAAATGCCTGTCTATATGCAATATTAAATCCACAAATTACTCATCTACTTTAAATCAAGTCAAATACAAAAAGAATATGAGAACTAATGGTGACAGAGACTTGTCAACAATTTTTGTCCTTTGCCTCAAACAAGTATTAAAACAGAAATCAGATACATCCATCCCTTCGGGCACTGGGTGGAAAAATCAACCATGTGTAAGAGTGCCACCGAATATTCACACCATCTCTTAAAATTTCATTTTTCTCAGTTAAGCAATATTTATTTTTAGAACTCATTCACCAGTGAAGGGTTCCCATAGGCTACAAGACTTACTCATTAATTCAGCCCTAAAACAGGTTAGGGACTCTCATATACGTGATCATATTGCTGAAAGTGTGTGAGGATAAAATAGGCAAAGTTAACATTGATGGAGAAAACTTTGGCCCCTCACCCTCTGACCTTCTTAGTTGATACAGTAGTAATTCGAACATAATTTATGTGATTGGTAGACAAAGTCTTTGATTACAGGCATGGTTTACTTCTTTATTGTACCAATTACCCAATAATGCACATCATGAAAACTACTTACAGGTATAATTCTGCTGATGTTTATCCCCTAATTTCTTTTCCATTAACTGACACTTTTCTATTAAATTTTCACTTGTTCACCCTATTTTTGT